CCAATATTGTTCCTCTCACAATTCAGTTGAAACATATACCCAGAATCTAGAATGTCCCACAAAGCAGGGCCAGGAAATAAATCCTCAACCAACAAGAACCCTCTATTAACTGTGTCATGTTCTTGCATTCCACTTTCTAAAAGCAGGCCCCAAAGAAAAGCAAGCTTATGTTTAAGTATTTATGGTCTCTTTCTTTTTCCATTTGTTTTGCAACCATTGGGGAACATCATGAAGACAATCCGCATTCCTTTCAGTCTCCTACACTTTTATATCCCGACCCACAATGAATAGATGTCATGCTCCAAATCCCACTGCTGTGATTGAGCCAGATCCCCAGCCATTAATCTACGACATGGGGTTGATCATCACACTGTACTTTCCTAAAATTAATATCCTGAACCATTTGCAAAGGCTAGAGTCAGTGGCAGAACATTTGGCTAGCATGTGTAAGGCCCTGGATTCAATCCCCAGCACTACCAAAAACAAAAACAAAAAAATCATTGAATTAAGACTCTGCTGCCCCTAGAGTACATGGAAAGTGTTAGGTCCATTCAGCCAACATTCTGGACCTTAGCCAAAAATCTGTCTAGAGAGAATGAATTAACACTTGCTCCTTAGAATAAATGCTTCAAAATGGCACATTCTCCCAAGAAGTCACAAAGCAACCTCTGTGTCCCCTGTCCATCAGGTTGCTGCACAGAAACATATTTTCCTCACTGTGAACTTCATTTGTGCTTAGGCCTTGAGGTACACCTCCAAAAAAAAATTTAAAGAAGCGAGTGAATGAAACCATGTCCCTAGTGGATACCAACTATTATCTCTCTAACAAGGTCTACCTTACACTATCTTTTGTTTAATTCTTCCCAAGCTAAGCCAAGGAAGTTTGGAAGAGCTAGACTGACAAGGGTATGCTATGATCTTTATCCAGTGGGCACAAACCTGTGTTGATACCCAGTGAACAGCCCTGGTTAGGCTTCCCTGATTACTCCCAGGGCATCAAGTCTCCTTTCACAAAACAACCTTTACTGAGTGGACTTAGTTAGGCACTAGGTACTTCAAAATAGTGGCTTTGGGGGGGGGGGGTAAGCAGTGAGGAGGGGAAAGACAGGGGCCAGAAAGGGAAACAAACCATAATCACTGCCTCCAGACCACTCACAGTCCCTGAATACCTTCAGCTTGTTTTAATGCCTCTGTCTGACTGCCTGGGATCACAAAGACAGGAAGATACTCCCTCTCTATCTTCAGAACTCAGTGATAGCTCTTCTTGAATGCTCTTTGAAGTAACTAACACAAGCTTACTAAACTTTAAAAAGATTACTTACAGGAAACAGGACTTATGGGCAAGATCATAGAGTGTCCTCCTATGAGTGGTCTTAGAAGAGAGCTCACTACAACTGTAAGAGGTGATGAGAGGAGAAAAGAGCACTGGACTAAAAGTCCAGGGCCTGTTTGTTCTACCAGCTCATCTGTGTCCTTGGGCATTCCTTCTGAGTTCCACTGATGTGGGGACGGGTGGCAAGATCTATGGGTTTTATTTATTTATTTGATTAGTGGTTTCTGTTTGCTCTAAAATCCATTTGTTTTTCCAAATTTTATTTTATCTAGAATCCAATATATAAAACAAACCAGTCTATGTGACCCTCAGAACTCAGTCCAAACATGGCAAGAGTGGGTTCAGGATAGAGAGCTCTTGTATTCTCTTGCAGAGAGACCCAGAGGGAGAGAAGGAGGGAATCACCATGGATTGAGGCTGTCTTTGGTGCTTGGTAATTCATGTATCAAACATCATTGAAATATTTGCAATAGCTACATGAGGTTAAATAGTTTGTGAACTAAGATCTGTTGTGATCTGGGCTTTGAACTGGGATCCACTGGCAAGAGGCAGAACTGGGATTTGAGCCATGGGTTTTCTAAGTCCAAACATAGTATCATAATATGTTCCTCTAGGTATGTAGAATACTGACTAAGTCAGTCATCTCCATAAATACATATGCATACATACACATGAAATACTTCTTAAAAAATTATACCCCTTAGAAGTGAAGCTGTGGCTCAAAGTGGTAGAGCACTAGCCTAGAGCACAAAAGTTCAGGTACAATGCCCACATACTGAGTTCAAGCCCCAGAACCAAGCAAAAAAAAATTGTTTTTTTGCATTTTGCCAGGTGCCAGTGGCTCACACCTGTAACCCTACCTACTCAGGAGGCTGAGATCTGAGGATCATAATTTGAAGCCAGAACAGGCAGTAAAGTCCCCATGAGCCTCTTATCTCCAATTAACCACTCAAAAACCAGAAGTGGAGCTGTGGCTCAAACTAGTAGAGCACTAGGCTTGAGTAAAAGAGCTCAGGGACAGGGCCCAGGCCCTGAGTTCAAGCCCCATTACAAAAAAAAAAAAAAAAAAAATACACCCTTAGTGAATGGGATTGAAGACATATGTGTGTGTGAAAATATAATAGAGGAGGTAAACTTCTAAGTACAATGTACACATGTATGACGGGATTATCACAATGGAACCCCTTTGTACTATCAATATATGCTAATAAAAATGCATCAGAGCCAGGTGTCAGTGGCTCACGCCTGTAATCCTAGATACTCAGGAGGCTAAGATCTGAGGATCACAGTTCAAAGCCAACCCCAGGCAAGAAAGTCTGTGAGACTCTTATCTCCAATTAACCACTAGAAAACCGGAAGTAGCACTGTGGCTCAAGAGGTAGAGCGCTCGCCTTGAGCTGAAGAGCGCAGGTACAGCGCCCAAGCCCAGAGTTCAAGCCTCACGATCAAAAAAAAAAAGCATCAGAAAAGGAATACATACCTCCAAATCACCATGAATCTCTCTATATGGTGATAATGCTGATGATTTTCAGTCTATGGTTCCTAATTATCTTATAATGATCAGGTATGGTTTATGTGAGACAGATATTGCTTATTAAAAGTGGTTCCAGCCGGGTGCCGGTGGCTCGCGCCTGTAATCCTAGCTACTCAGGAGGCTGAGATCTGAGGATCGCAGTTCAAAGCCAGCCCTGGTAGTTAAGTCCATGAAACTCTGATCTCCAATAAACCACCAGAAAATTGGAAGTAGTGCTGTGGCTCAAGCGGTAGAGGGCTTGCCTTGAGCTGAAGAGCTGAGGGACAGCACCCAGGCCCAGAGTTTAAGCCCCATGGCTGACTGACATAAATAAATAAATAAATAAATAAATAAATAAATAAATAAATAAATAAATAAATAAATGTGGTTCCAATAATTTATGTTGGGTTTATACAGTGAATTAGGGATGGATGGTGATCGGTAGCATTCTTGACCTTTCAGAGTTGACAGTGGAACAGCCCTCTGGGCCAAGTGTATTGGGCTGATCTAAGGGCCAATTCTCATGATCAATTTATCCCATGTTTCAGTTCTGCATGGGGTGGTGGTTGTTTTAGAAGGTAACAGAAAGTTGCTGAGTCCCCTCCCAAATATGTCTCCCCTCTATAGCCCTCAGCTGCCTTGTATAGAAGAGAATGCTAATAAAACTAAAGATGGTCACATGACTCTGGAACAGATACACTCACTCTCAGCCAGGCTAACTAGAAATCATCAGGCAAAGCTAACTAAATTCTCTTTCCATACCTTGTGGACACTCTACAGCTTTCTGGAAAACTTAAAGCTCTCGGAGCTACTTTAGGAGAGAAAACATCACCCTAAAGGTAAGTCAGGTTTTGTTGGCCTGAGGTGTGGCAAGGCTCTCTTCTGTATTATTCATGCCAGCTCTGCCTGTAGAAATCTCCTAAATATTTAATGTGCCCCCTCCAGGGACCCCGTGAAAGCCCCAATCTGTGGAGAGACCTTCAGGGAATGACTTGGGGGCTGCGAGGCAGACACTGGCTTTAGGAGGAAAGCTCAGAAGAACGGTTTAGAGACACGGCTTGAAGACCTTGGTAGGCTTCTCCGGATTGCCTTTTGGGAAATCAGGAGCGAAGGAGAGGAGATGTGCCAAACACGAGGCGTGATGCCGCACAATCAAGGGGAGTCCAGAGCCCCGCTTCCTCAGACAAAGAAAAGGCCCAGGCACATGCTCTTCTCCGGCAGCCTCCCTGGGCCCATTTCAGTCCTGGTTGCCCAGACCAGGTGGCAAAGCTGTCCTCCCCACCCCACCCCCCATCCATCCCAGTGGGAAAGGTGAAGGAAGGAGAGAGTCTTGAAAGACACAAATGTACTCTCCAGGCCCATCCCCAATGACTTCACACAGGCCTCACCCCAGATGACTGCTCGCCTGCATCATCGTGGGGTGTCACGGCCACCGCCCTGGGGGTTGTCACTTGGAAATCACCCGTGTATTCCTCCAGACGCCTGCCCCCTGGCCCTCAAACCTCTGCAGAAGGAATCAGACCTGGGGCACCAGGACAGCTACTCCAAAATTCACCCACAGCCCCCCAAGTCGCACCTGCCTGGTGCCCGCGATCGAGGAGGGAAACCTAAAAAGGAGTGATTTTTTTCCCCACCCCACGGAGCCCCGCCTCCACGTCTCCACCGGTCCCCGCGATGACCCCTCCCAGGCTGCGCCCCTCGCCTGCCCCGGCTCCGTCTGTCATTTTCACCTGACAAAAGCGTGGCAGCCGGGAACGACACCCGACCCCACCCCGGCCTTCTCCTAAACGGAACGCGTGTCCCCGAGGCGCACCCATTCGCGGGCCTCGGCGAATCCACCCGACCCGGGGAACAAAGCGACGGGGGGCGGGGGGGCGAGACCCAGTCCCCAGAGAGTCCCCCGTGCGCCCCAGCCCTCCCAGCTCCCCCCGCGGGGACCCCAACCTGGGCCCCGCGGCGCCCCCGGGGGCCACCCCGCCACCCCGTCCTCCCTCAGGCGTCCGCAACAGCTACTGTACCTGCTAAATTTAGCGGCTACCGTTTATTAATAGCCCGAGCAACCGGGGCCGGGCGCGGCAGGGGCGCGCAGCCTAAGGGGGGGTGGGGGGGACCCGGGGACGGGGAAGAAGGGACGCGGAGAAGAAGGCCACTTACACCACCAGCCTGGAGATGATCCATGACACCATGGCGGGCGGGCGGGCGGGCGGCGGGCGCGGCTGGGCTGCAGGCGGGAGGTGCAGCGCGGCGCTCCCGGCACGTCTGTCCGCGCACGGCTGCCGCCGCCAGACTGAGCGCGCCCGCCGCCCGGCCCCGCGCCCGCGCGTACGCGCAGTCGCCGCACGTTCCGCCGGCGGCGCGCGGGTGGGGGGGGGGCAGGGTGAGGAGTGGGGAGGGGAGGGAGCGCACCCCCTCAACCCCCCCCCCACACACACCATCATCACGGATCCGCCGGCCCTGTGTGATTGGGCAGCTAGGACCCGCCCCACCTCACTGGCCATTAGCCCCTCAGGCTGAATCTGGGTGAGTCGGTGGCATTCTCTGGAGCCCTGGCGCCCGGATCTGGAGGAACCCTGCGGTGGCCCCACCCTCACTGGTACATTGGGGAAACTGAGGTCTAGACAGGAACTTTGGGAAGCTGTCTCCACCTGTTCTGTCATCCTAAAGAGATCCAAGAGATACTTACCTGTCGCCAGGCCTGATTTATTCAGTCTTGTCTCCAAGACCACAGAAGCTACCTGTCTCCTGACAGTTCTACAAGGTCCGCACTCGCTCAGGCCTGCAAGCTCATCCCCACCCCTACCGTTCCCTACTAGCACTTCTCACCGCCGGCCTCTAGGAGTTTTCCATGGGCGTTTCCTCTCCCCTGTCCTTTCATGGACACCTTCTGCCTTGGTTTGCTTCAAGTCTGAGCCAAAAGGCTAGGAGAACCGGAGGCTGCTGTTGTGCATTGCGGCCATGCAACGCACACTGGGCCTTAGACAAAAAGGAAAACTGGCCACTCAATATAAGTATTATAATATATTTTTAAATAGTGCTTTAGAATAGAGAGAGAAAGGGTGGGCAAAAACGGTTACTATAGCCAAAGTACATATGAGAAAATGGAACCAGGTAACGTAAGCGTATGGGTGAGTCTGGGAAAGATGGGAGGGAATGACGGAAAGGGTCACATTGACCAAGATGACGTAGAAACCGATTTGCTGTGTTGAAATCCCTTTGTGCAACTACTTAAAGATAATAAAGTTCGTTTTCGACATGACAACTTGTACTTCTCATTGTTGCAACAGGTCCACCTGTATCCTTATTTAAACGACTTGTTTTTCCCCTTCCCCTCCACAAATTATACCGACATCAAATACAGTGAAAGCAGGGGTTATACTGTGGGGGAGGGACATACAAAGCAACAAAGAAATAATCTTATAATTGCGTTAGAAACAATGCATGAAAGAAAAAAACATTTAAAATACATATCTTAGGGTTTATTTTCCTAACATCACCTTATCTGGCCTTTTCTGCGTGACTCATACATATACTAGATATTGCAAATAAGGGAAACCATGGGACCTATGTTTCTTTGGGCTTGGCTTACTTAATTTTTTCCAAGTCTTTCCATTTCCTAACAAATGGGGCAATGTCATTCTTTCTGATGGAGGCATAGAATTCCATTGTGTATATATACCACATTTTCTTGATCCATTCATCTACTGAGCAGCATCTGGGTTGGTTCCAGATCTTAGCTATGGTAAATAATGCTGCAATAAACATAGTTGTGCTGGTAGCTTTAGTGTGGTCTTGTTTGTAAACATTTGGGTAAATGCCCAAAAGTGGGATTGCTGGGTCATAGGGGAGGTCTATGTGGAGTCTTTTGAGGAACCTCCATACTACTTTCCAAAGTGGTTGAACAACTTTACACTCCCACCAACAATGAAGTAAGGTTCTCTTCTGTCCACATTCCCTCCAGCATCTGTTGTGATTAGAGTTCTTGATTTTTGCCATTCTAACTGGGGTGAGGTGGTATCTCAATGTTGTTTTGATTTGCATTTCTTTTATGGCTAGGGAGGCTGAGCATTTCTTCATGTGTCTATTGGCCATCCTTCTTTCTTCTTCAGAGAAGTTTCTCTTGAAGTCATTAGCCCACTTATTTATTGGGCAGTTGTTTCTTTGAGGATTTGTTGTTGGGGGATTTAATTTTTTGAGTTTCAAGTATATTTTAGATATAAGACCCTTGTCCATTGTATGGCTAGTGAAGATCTTATCCCAATCCCTGGGCTTTCTATTGATCTTGCTAGCTATGTCCTTTGCCATGCAGAAGCTCTGCAACTTCATGCAATCTCATTTGTCCAACCTTTCTTTGATTTGTTGTGTTTCCGGGTCTCTATTAAGAAAATTTCCGCCTGCACCAAGGAGACCTAGGGTTTCTCCTATTCCATCCTGTAATGTTTTCAGAGTGTCTGCTTTGACTTCGAGGTCTTTGATCCATTTGGAGTTGATTCTGGTGCAGGGTGATATATAAGGATCTAGCTTTAGTTTTCTACAAGTAGTTAACCAATTTTGCCAGCACCATTTACTGAAGAGGCTGTCTTTCTTCCATTCTATTTTTTTTAGCTCCCTTATCGAAGATTAGATGGCTATAGGTCTGTAGGTTCATTTCTGGGTTTTCAATTCTATTCCATTGGTCCTGAGGTCTGTTCTTGTGCCAGTACCAAGCTGTTTTGATTACTATGGCTTTATAGTAGATTTTTTTTGAAATTTGGTATTGATATTCCTCCAGCAGTGTTCTTTCCGTTGAGGAGCGTTTTTGCTATTCGGGGTCTTTTATTGTTGGGGGGGGGTCTGGGGGGGGAGGGAGGATGAGAAGGGATGGGAAGGGTAAACAAAGGAGGAGGCTACAATGCTTGATAAGAAATGTACTCACTATCTTGCCCATGTAATTGTAACCCCTCTGTACAGTATTTTCACAATAAAAAATAAATAAAAATTAAAAAAAGATAAAAAACAATGATCCTTTTATAACTAAAAAAAAGATAATAAAAAAGCATTTTTAAAATACCGTATTAGATAGAATTTATCTTGATTGCTGAATTTGATGGTGCCCCCCCCCCTCTAAATTTCCCACTCCAGTTGAGTGCTTTGCTCTGTTTACCCTACTGATTGACATTTTGTTCTGTTGTACAGGAAAGGCTGCATACCCACTCTTGCTTTGGCTCTGTTTCTGCTTTCCCATCCTCCAACAGCCCCATTCCTCCCTGGTGCTCTCTCAGCATCCAGTTCTGGTTGCTGACACTCATGTCATGTACAGTTCAATGTCAGAGGTGAGACATACAGGAGAGAGGTAACTTAGAGCCTTTGCCAATGGAGTCCTTGCTCATGAGGCTCTGCTTCCTAGCAGAGACAAGGTGACCTCAGAACTAGGCAAAGGCCAGGAAAGCAGTGCCTTCCCATGTAGCAGAATGTGTGTGTATGTGCCAGATACAGCAGAAGAGAGACAATAAAGAAATTGTACAAAATAGATAGTCTCTGTATTGAACCATCTCCAAATAACTCATAAATATACCTGTAATAGAGGGTTTCTCTGAGTTATGTGTGGCCAGGTAGGGACTGTAGGGCTGGTGCTAGGGCCTGAACTTAAGCCTTTTGCTTTCACTTAGCTTTTTTGCTCAAGGCTAGCACTCTACCACTTGAACCACATCTCTACTTACCCTTTTTTTTTGCTGGCTCATTGGAGATAAAGTCACACTGACTTTTCTGCTTGGGCTGGCTTGGAACTGCAGTCCTCAGATCTCAGTCTCTCAAGTAGGTAGGACTATGAGTGTGAGCCACTAGTTCCTGGCTGTGTTTTGCAGTAGTGGGTAATTCATAGACTCTGTATTTGTTAGGCAACTGTTTTACCACTTGAGCCATACCTCAGTCCTTTTGCTTTGGATTTATCTTTCTTTTTTTTTGGTCCGGTCGTGGGGCCTGAACTCTGGGCCTGGACGCTGTCCCTCAGCTCTTCAGCTCAAGGCTAGTGTTCTACCACTTGAGCCACAGCACCACTTCTGGCTTTTTTCTTTTTGCTTATGTGGTGCTGAGGAATTGAACCCAGGGCCTCATGTATGCAAGGCAAGTGCTCTACCACTGAGCCACCTTCCCAGCCCCTGGATTTATCTTTCCAAAAGGGTCTCACACTTTAGCTCCAGCCAGCCTTGGGACAGCAATCCTTCAGCTTCCACCTTCTGGATAGCTGGGATTACAGGTATATACTGTAAGGCTCAGCTTGTCTTTGAGATAGAGTCGTACCAATTTTCTCTCCAGCTAATCTCCAATGGCAATTCTTTTATTCCTATCTCCCGAGTAACTGAAATGACTGTTTTGTGTTGGTTCTAGGACTTGAACTCATGGTCTTGGTACTATTCCTGAGCTCTTTCTGCTCAAGGCTAGTGCTCTGCGACTTGAGTCACAGCTCGACTTTTTGGTGGTTAATTGGAGATAAAATCTAACAGAATTTCCTGCCCAGGCTGGCTTCAAACTATGATCCTCACATCTCAGCCTCCTGAGTAGATAGGATTACAGGCATGAGTGACCAGCGCCTAGGTTACTATAGGGGTTTTAAATGCTGTTTTTATTTAGTTTTGAGGGATTCTGGTCAGTTTCCTGCTTGAATGCCATAACCCATACCCCCTTTTTATTGGGTTGTCATACTCCAAGACACTGTATATTTACTTACCCTAACCACTCCAGGACCAGGTAGAAGATGACCAGAGATGCCACTAAGCCCCAGAGCCCATTGAAATTATTCAAATTAGCCAACTTAAACCTAACTGTCCTGACTTGCCCTTTCCTTCCCATAATAGAGGCCTGGACCACTTCCCTTCTTTCCTCTATCTTGTGGCATACTCTGATGTTATTTTTCAGATAGGGACTCTAGTCTTACCTAGGATAGCCTGAACTTAGATCATCCTCCTTATGCCTCTCACTTTAGCTGGGATCACAGGGATGAGCCACACTGTAGAACTTGTTGTTTAAAATGAAATCTCACTAACTTTTGCCCAAACTACCAAAGAAATTTGATCCTCTCTATGTTTACCTCTCCAGTAGCTGAGATTTACTACAACACCCAGCCTTTCCCATCTCACCAAGGAAAAAAACCTGGGCTGGATCCTGTAGTTTTCTGCTGCATCCCTCCAGACCTACAAACATTGTAACCTCATGAACTGTTTAC